CTGTCGTAACACACTAGCGAATCTTCTAGAATACTCGTCACGTGACCCCCCACTGTCGTAACACTATATTCAATTTTTAGCTCAAAACACCCATGGGAAACATCGACCCTGCATTGTAAGTCTGTAAATTTATCGTTGACCCACAGGGAAACCATACTTATTAAAAATTAGGTATATAATTGGGAGTCTTAAATCATTAAAATACTTCGTGTATCATTTATTAAACTTTTTTACGGAAGCTACAAAGTAAAAATTTCAACTTTAGAATTAGCGTCTCTCCACAGTTGCTAATAAAAAGATATATAAAAACTTGTAATATTAAAAAAAATGTTTCACATCTATGTAAAATTCAAAGGAATATAACATTAAAATAATTGCACAGTAAGTATATATATACATACATACATATATATATGTGTGTGTGTGTGTGTGCACAAGTGCCGTTTTAATTTATTTATTTCAAACCTACATGATCAGAACATTATATCTCGATATAAAACTACATTTTAATTAACTAAATGTGTCTGTCCTTATGTCTATATCTTTGTGTGCCTAGTTCAGTTGTCAAATCCCGATTTTGATCTGAATCTTGTTTTGACGTATGCGTAATGTTTCACGATGGTTGTGAAATGATTCAAATTAGGAGGATGCCATCTCCACAATCTTGAGGATTTTGGGATATTCAAAATGACAGCCAAATCTTAAAAATGGCAATATCTCAACTTCTAAAAGTAACAGAGTAGTAATCCAGACGTCTAGACTGTTTTATGGGGTTTAAGAACTCTAATTCGACATTAAAAGTGCAATACTATTAATAATGCCTGTATGTCCCAGATTAACTGTAGGATGAAAAAGTGTATGTCTTTATTTGAATCTGACTAAGCCACAGACGACAAACAAACATGTTCATTTAAAATGATATAGTATGTGTTCTGTTAAATTGTGAAAATAAAGAAAGTTCTGGATTCTTCTGCCCCGTGAACACAAGTTGGAACATTTGTTTGAAGTCTTACTATTTTAATGCTACATCCTTCACCACAAATATCAATGTAGATGCTTGATGCACATAATATAATAATAACTTTACACCAGCCATCCCTAATTTTAAAGTGACAGACTAGAGATATGACAGTTTGTCAACACCACCCATTACCAACTCTTGGGCTACTTTTTACCAACGAATAGTGGGGTTGACTATCATATTATAATGCCTCCATGGTTAAAAGAGGGGCGAGATTTAAACCCACAACCCTCAGGTTACAAGTCGAATGCCCTAACAACCACATTATGCCAAACCAAAACTTTTAAGAAATAATCTAACACTAGTAACTCACAAGAATAATGGATATTAAATATTTTTTACTTTTCACAAGTAATATATGCAGTTAACATGAACAAAAACAAAACATTAACACAAGTAATTTTGGATATCTGTTTATTTCAAGACTATTCAAATATTACACTATCTGCATGGTCCCTCTACTACATAC